GTAGGAACTGCAGATGCTGGAGAATCCTAGACCGAAGGGTCTAGGCCCGAAACGTCAGCCTCTCTGCTCCTATGATGCTGCTTGGCCTGCTGTGTTCATCCAGCCCTGCACCTTGTTGTCTCTTGATACTAATCTTATTGTGAGAAATACTTTCAGAAAACATGATCAAAATCTTTGTTGGGATAGAAAGTAAAGTAGTCAAATCCAGGATCCTATATCTAAAGAAAGGAAACTATAAGGTTTGGGAGGTGAGTTATTTCTAATAGACTGACTAATATCACTAAAAGGCATGTCAGTGGATGGTCAATGGTTAATATTTAAGGAACAAATGAATGCATTGCATTAGTTAAATATTTGTTTCAGGTAAAAGAACACAACAGGAAAAGTGGCTCAACAAATGGCCACCAAAAGAAATTATAGACAGTGTTAGATCCAAAGAGGAGCCATAGAAGATTTCTAGAGAAAGTAGCCTTTTGTGTATCTGAAAAGGAAATGGTACTGCAGACAAATATTAGCCTCTTATGGTTTGTATCAGGAGAAACGATCATGCAGAACAAGGAAATGCCAGAACAATTAAATAAAGGAAGAGACAAAACCTTTGCAAAAAGCAAGAGATGACTGGGAAGAAGGAACTGAAGGAGATTAGTATTAGTGAGAAAAAAGATGAAGAAATTCATGGTACTGACAACTTATAAAACCCCAGGGCCTGATAATCTATATTACAGGGTACTAAAGGAGATGGCCGTGGAAATAATGGATGCAATCATTGAATCCCTACAGCATGGAAGCAGGCCATTCAGCCCATCGGGTCCATACCAACCCTCTGAAGAGCATCCCACCCAGACCCGACCCCTACCCCATCCCTGTAACTCTGCATTTCCCATGGCTAATCCACTGAGCTGACACATCCCTGGACACTACCGGCAATTTTGCATGGCCAACCCACCTAACCTGCACAATTTTGGACTGTGGGAGTAAACTGGAGCACCCGGAGGAAACTCATGTGGACACAGGGAGAATGTGCGAACTCCAACCAGACAGTCACCTGATGATGGAATCAAACGCGGGTCCCAGATGCTGTGAGGCAGCAGTGCTAACCACTGAGCCGCCGTGGTTGTCATCTTTCAAAATTCTGCAGGTTCTGGAACAGTCCTGCCAGATTGGAGTGTGGCCAATCTAGCCTTGCTGATTAAAAGTTTAAGGTGGGAGAAAACTGGGAATTACAGACCAGTTAGCCGAATAGTAGTAGTAGACAAAATGTTGCTCTATTATAAAGGATGTGAAAGTATGACATTTAGAAAATACCAGTGCTATTAAGCAAAGTCAACATGGATTTATGAAAGAGAAATCATGTTTGACAAGCCTAACAGATATTTCTTGAGGATGTATCCAGCAGAATAGATGTGTGGGAACCAGTGGATGTGTGGCGTATTTAGATTTTCAGAAAGCTTTTGATAAAGTCCCACAAAATCAGAGCACATGAAATTTATGGTAATGTACTGGTATGAATTGAGAATTGCTGAGTAGACAGGAACCAGAGAGACGGAATAAATGTGTTGTTTTCAGAGTGGTAGGAGGGTATCGTAAGGATCTGTGCTTTGGTCCTGCCATTTACAACATAATCATAGAATCATAGAATCCCTACACTGTGGAAGCAGGCCATTTAGCCCATCGAGTCCACACCAACTGTCCAAAGAGCAACCCACCCAGACTCTCCCCGCTAGTGTCTCTCTGTAACCCTGCATTTCCCTTGGCTAATCCCCTAGCCTGCACATCCCTGAACACTATGGGCAATTTAGCATAACCAATCCACCTAACCTGCGTGTCTTTGGACAGTTTGGATGAAGAATTCAAAGATAATATTTCCAGATTTGCTCACAGCACAAAACTGGCTGTGATTATGAATGGTGGGGAGGGTGTAAAGAGACTTAAGGACAATTTAGGCAATTTCTGAGCAGGAAAATGTGATGGCAGATGCAGTATAATGTATGTGAGTGTGAAGACGTCCACTTTGGTTGGAAAAACAGAATGGCAGAGCATTATTTAAAAAGTATTAGTTTGGGAAACGTTGATTAACCAAAAGACCTGGATGCCTTTGTACATGCAGTCACTGAAAGTAGCATTAAGGTGCAGAAAGCAGTTTTGAAAGCTGATACTTTGCCCTTCACAACAAGAGGGTTGAGTAGAGGAGCAAGGAAATTTTACTGCAGTGATACAGGGCCTTGGTGAGACCACATCTCGAGTATTGTGTGCAATCTTGGTCTCCTTACCTAAAGAAAGATAGACTTACTTTAAAGCCAGTTCTACAAAGATTCACAAGAATGAGTCCTGGGGTGGTCCGTTCATCATATGTGCAGAAATTAGATTAACTGGGTATGTATGCTCTGAAGTTTAGAAGAATGAGCAGGGATCTCATTGAAACATTTAAAACACTGACAGGGCAAGACAGAGCAGATGCAAAGATGAGGTTTCCTCTGGCTGAGGTCCCAAGTAAGGGGTGATGGTCTCATATATGCAGTTGACCATTATGGACTAAAATGAGGAGAAACGTCTTCAAGCAGAGGATGGTGAACCAGTGTAATTCTCTACCACAGAAGACTGTGGAGTATAAGTCACTGATTATATTTTAAAAAGAAATCAACAGATTTCTAGAAGCTAAGGGTGTCAAGAGGTATGGAGAGTCAGCAGAAGTATGGTGTTGAGATAGATGATCAGCCATGATTATGTTGAATGGTGGATAGGGACTCAATGGACCAAGTGGCATACACAAGTTCTTATTTTCTATGTTTCTATGTCATCTGAAAGAAATGTCTGTGTTATGCTACATGATGACCATTTCCCTGGAATCATTGAAGATTCATTTTCAAAACTTTTATTATTTATCAGTTAAATAAAAACTGTTAAAGCACTTATTACATTTGTGTACAGTATCTGTCTCATGAGGTGACTGTCTTGAAGCTTTGGAATTCTTTGATCATATGTAGCCTTTGTAATTGTCACTGGGAACAAAAACTCTCCCAAGACTGTACAGCAATAAATCAGTAATAGGAGTTAAAAATGCATTACCTTCACCAGCACAATGTAGCCATAAATCCTCACTGGTATGCCAACAAGGGGTCTCAGCGATAAAGAATTTTGTGCACTATATTTGACAGAAGAGAAATTACATAATTATTTTCAAGACATCTGGCCATATATAAATAGTTTGACTGTAATTGTTCTGTAATTTTTGTTTAAATCAAATAATAATCCCACATTTGAAAAGTATTTTCTAATTTAGGCAAGCTTTTCTGATAAATAGCCTAATAAATGGCATTGAGAATAATGCGAACTACAATTAAAAAGGGAAATTACATTATTTATTTCAGACATTATTCAAAAATAGCTGAAGTTAACAATCAATGCTCTTTTTATTTTGCTGATTCAAATCCAAAATGGATTCTTGTTAGAAGATGACCTATTTATTGACCTGAAACTTAGTTTCTGGAAAGGAATTCTGTTCTGGGCATAAAATTAATAACGGCAAAGGCACTAACAAGCCTTTTGAGCTCAGATAAAGTAAGCCCATTTGCTTATCAGCATTCCATGTAATTGCTGGCTTGATTTTATCTTTAATCAAGGGTGATTGACAAGTCTGAATTCAAAGCATTTCAAACTATTTGGTGACTTTGCTCACCTGTTCCCCTGAGTACAGATCTTAGTGGATCTTCTGAGTACAGGTTCAGTTACATTTTTCTGGTGAACCTTGGTGTATTTATGCTGCCACTCACTAAGCTATCTAAGGTGTCAGAATGAAAAGGCGGTGTCCACTGCAATATTAGTTTTGACAGAAAGCCCTCCCTAGCTCAAGAAGCTAAGAATTTGATGACATTTTAAATACCTGATTAGCCAAAATTATCAATGATGTCAGATGAAGTTTTGGTCATCATTAAATTATGAAGATGAAATTGTCACCTAATCATACATCACAGCATATTTTGTTTTGTGTTGACTTGGAAAATATTACCTCGCCTTTTAATTTTATTCTGTTGCTTTTACTTGGCTTAAAAATAGTTGCAAGTTAACAATCAACGTTGTTTTTCTTCATTCAATGTCAAAATGGATGCCTGTGAAATGAAGATATATTTATTAATTTGAACATTAATCTTTGTTCTGGATATAAAGGTATTAAGCACAAAGGCATTGGCAAGTCTTTAGAACTCAGATAAGGTATGAATATTTGCTTATCAGTATTCCATATAATTGCTAGCTTGATTTTATCTTTAATCAGAGGTGATTGACAAGTCTGAATTCAAAGAACTTTAGACTATTTGGTATCTTTGATTTTTAATTTTAGTTAAAAATGTAATCAAGTTAAACCATCAGAGTTGGTAAGAAAATGAGAAAAAGAACTTGTGCATTATGACCTTCAGGAAGAAAGGTTTTCTGTGGTGAAAAATTGGCAGCTGGTTCACCACGATCCTGTTCAAAATCTCAGATGTAGACTGATTTCTCCACTTCCTGGATTCTGCACTCACCATCATTTCTACTGGAACCATGGAGAGAGCAATGGAGTTCAAGGGTGGGAACTTCCCAGCTCACTGGGGCACTTAGAAAGGCAGGAGGGAGCAATTCATTAGGCAGGAGGCTCAAATTCAGATTCCCCAAGTTGGACTAAAATGTTGTTATTAAGTTTTCAGAACCTTTCGGATGGGTTAATCTTTCCAATAGTGATGTTCAGGAACCTTTTTTGAAATGCCATGAATGACCCATTCACATCCCAGCCCACTGAATTAGATTCATAGATGCAGTCATATTCTTTGTTGTCACATGTACTGAAATAAAGTGAAAAGTGTTATTTTGTATGTCATACAAGCAGATCATACCTTATAAAGTGTATCAGGGGAGCAGAATGGAGTGCAAAATGCAGAGTTATAGCTGCAGTGAAAGTGCAGAGAGTGAGAAAGATCAGAATTGATATTTGAGAGGTCCGTTCAAGAATCTGGTAACAGCAGGGAAGAAGCTGTTCTTGAATCTATTTGCATGTGTATTCAAATTTTTATATCTTCTGCCTGACGGAAGGGGGTGGAAGAGAATTTATCCAGAGTGGGTGAGGTCTATGATTATGTTGGTTGCTTATCCGAGGCAGCAGGAAGTATAGCTGGAGTCAATGGGTGGAAAGTTGGTTTGTGTGATGGACTGGGCTGCGTTCACGACTCTCTGCAGTTTCTTACGGACTTGGAAAGAATAGTTGCCATACCACACTGTAATGCATCCAGATAGGATGCTTTCTATGGTGAAGCTTTAAAAATCTGTAAGAGTCATTGTTGACATGCTGAATTTCCTTATCTTGAGGATACAGAGACGTTGTTGTGCTTTCTTGATCGTCGTATCAACATGGGTGGACCAGGACAGATTGTTGGTAATCAACACTCCCAGAAACCTGACTCTCTCGACTATCTCCACCTCAGCATCATTGATGTAAATAGGGGTGTGCCCTCCACTCCGCTTCCTGATGTCAATGACCAGCTCCATTGTTTTGCTGATGTGCGTGGAGCAATTGCTGTCTTTACACCATGCTGCTAAGTATTCAATCTCTTTCCTGTACTCTGTCTTGTCATTGTTTGAGATCCGATCTACAATGGTGGTGTCGTCAGCAAACTTGTAACTGGAATTGGGGCGAAAGTTGGCCACACAGTCACAGTGTATAAGGAGTATGGTAGAGGCTGAGTACGCAGACTTACAGGATACTGCTATTGTGGATTATCGAGGAGGAGGAGTTGTCGCCTATTCTTACTGATTGTGGTCAATGGGTCAGGAAGTCGAGGATCCAGTTACAGAGGGGGAGATGAGACCTAGGTCTCGGAGTTTAGGAATTATGGTGTTGAAGGCAGAGCTGTAGTTAATAAGTATGAGCCTGAGGTAGGTAATCATTGTTATCCAGATGTTCCAGGGATGAGTGTAGGACCGGGGAGATGGCATCTTCCCATGGACATGTTGCACCAGTAGGCAAATTGCAAAGGATTAAAGCAATTTGGTAGGCTGGAGTTGATGTGAACCATGACTGAACTCTCGAAGCACTTCATAATTATGGAGGTCACAGTAACTGGGCAGTAGTCACTGAAGCAATCCTGTAATGCAAAATCAAGAAAAACATGCATTCACACAACCAATCACAGATATGAGATGTGAACCTGGCAAGGTTGACTTCTTCCTGGAAAGTCTGGTGGGTAGATACTTCTTCAGTAACATGCATTCTTCATAACGAAAAGGCAAAATCTTATAGACCCTGAGCAACGTGTACTATGACAAGGAGTCTTAGAGAATTGTGCGAGAAGTCAGGCAATGCCTTTCTCAGTGTTGGCAACAATTAGCTGTATTTTCCAACTCAGCTCCAGGCATCAACGCAAGATTCTCGATAGGTGTCAACAAGATGCCTATTAAGAGGGATTGGTTTTAATAACTGGTAATCTTGCCTCATTAACATGTAGCTTCCTATCCCATCACCTGTCATGGGGAAACTAGATGCTGAAAATTCCTGGTGTGTAGGTCAGAATGAATACCTGATTACTCCAGCTCACACTCACTCCTCCAGACTACCCAGTAGCAACATCTCAGAACATGCTACATCACCCCCATCCACAGAAGCTGTAATCTGACAACTGTCAGCCCCTCAGGATGCTCAAGGCACCTCTCCAATCCTTTACAAGATGCTTAAAGCTGCGCTTCAGGCCACACTGGCAGCTTGTGTTGAAATGCAGCTGCAAGGACACTTGAGCACAGGGACAGGCACTCAGCTCACAGACTAGACCAGGTTACATCTCAGCGCTGCTCACTTGATCCCTTAGTGCTCAGGCACCTTGAGCCTATGTGGATGCTCACACCATTCCTGACTTGCCTTGTCTTTTTTGTGCTTTTGGATACAGACTGCCTAATCCATCCAACCTGTCCAAGTGAACTAGTCACACTGGTTGATGGCAGCAAACACAACCAAGGCATGTATGAGGAACTGAATACAAAGGGGGCTCAACAGAATAATCACAGAGGAAGGCGGATAGGTGTGGCAAGGAGTTAAACTTTAATGCCATCATTGTTAGGGGGTGCCAGAATGTCAGGCAAATGGAAGACAGAGGGGAGAGTCACAGTGACAGGGGCAGGGAAACAAATGAGTGTGGAGTTTGCATGTTGAGAGTGGGGAACACAGTGGTATCTTTCGGTGTGCTGGTAAGGGTTGAAGATGAAATGAATTGAACAAAGGGTGGTGCAAGGCTAAGGTTGATTTGGGAATTGTCTGGGTGCGGCCTCATGGGGAAGCACAGAAAAGTCAAGGGAAATTGTGAATGGCACCACAGTTACAGGTAGGAATGGAATAGTGACAGAGGGGATGCCAGAGGACAGACAAGAACATCTACAGCAATGGGGAAAGACTGTAGGTTAATGGGGAAGGTCAATGATCTCTCATCAAGCTGAAAATTTAAACTAATTCCTCTCACCACAGACTCTGCCTGAATGGCTAAGTATTTCCAATGTTTTTTTGTTTTTATTTCAAATTGCCAATATTTATATATATTTTTAACAAATGAATGTTGAATACAGTACTTATGATATCTTACAAAAACAAACTAAAAAAGTGGAACACAGGCAACGTGAAGCCACTTCAAACACTTACGATAATATTATTTCATGTTACCTTTCTGGTTCAAATTCAGCCTTCTTCCTCTCACTGTATCCCTATCTTGACGCTATTTCTGACTGGAGTTTTTTTTTTGTTCGGCTCACTGTACTAAATATGGCTCCAGGAATGAAAACCTCATTGTAGGTTGTCTTCTAAGAAACAATTCAATTGATGTTCTACTTATAGTGTTATGGGGTGTGTTATAATTAAGAAGCAAAACATTCATCAGCTTTTGATTCAACAACATCCGACATTTCTCCGAGTTTATATATTGCATTTGTCTAAGGAGCTCACACTTAACTAGTTGTACCGTGTGCTCCATTGTTCCATTTGGAGCGGATTGATAGAGTGGAACTTCAGTCAATTTTACCCCATTCATTCAATTAAAGATGAAAACTGTCCTGAGCATAACTTAAATCTTTTTGTAAGACTTGGTTCCTCAGCATGCCCATTAGTGGCAATCAAACTACTCAAAATTTCTATAATTTTACTATTCATTGTTCAATTCATTGGAAGCACCTCAACCCACTTTGAATGGCTATCAATCACAATGAACGGTCAGCTGATATCCTTGAAATTCTGCTAATTCCACATGTCACACTCTAACAGGCCAATTCCATGGTTGCAATTTCCCATGATGGCTTCTTTTCTACAGTTTGACATGAACTAAAAGGTTTCATTACGTTTTCTTGTCCTTATCTAAACCTGTATGTTGTAATATTCCCTAATATGGCTCAGTATCAAATATTGCTTTACACTGCTCATGTGAAGCTTTTATGATGCTCATTTTATGATGCCAAAGACAATACATAAATTCTGGTTAAAG